GTTTTCCCTTAATAATAAAAACCTTCATTTAAAAACTGCATGTTGTGTTTACTTGTGTTATCTTTGACTAATATTTAAATTTGTTTGATGATCTGAAACATTAAAGTGTGACAAACATGCAAAAAAATAAGAAATCAGGAAGGGGGCCAACACTTTTCACACCACTGTATATGCAGCCTACCTGCCTCTGTCCTATGACAGTTTTCCGGCATCCAGCTTCATTCTACTGCCAAAAATAATGTCGGAACTCGAGCTCTTCTCGTCTGACAACGAGCTGGACGCTCCACCGCAAGCCACCGGCTCTAAGGCACCTCCTTCTGCCGGCTCGAAGGCGCTTCCTCCTCGGCATGGATCCACTGCCGAGCCCCAGGCCTCGGTACGCGGGCGGAGGCCCACAAGGCCTGCTACTCGCACACCTAAGCCACGAAGTTTCCGTTCACCTCCACCATCAACACAGCCATCACAATCCCCAACATCATCTTACGCCTTGGCTTCACCATCCATCCCTCCCATTGGAAAATGGACCGTCGTGGGATTGAGACAAGCGCTGTCAAACTCTGAAGTTAAGTTTTCTCGAAAAATGAGCAACTTTATGATCTTTACATCTCTCTGGAAAATACTAATTCACCCACCTCCAAAAAGATAACTAAAGCCTGCAAGACTAAAAGTTATCATGTCTCTCTAACGTCGTCTTCTTCCAGATCAAGTTCCGGCTCCCCTCGAGCGTCAGGACGTAGCAGGCCGTCAGCAAGCCTAGGCCGCGCCCCAGACTCGGCCACTCCTCACACTGCACTGCCTCCCTCCTCTTCTCAACCAATCACTGCGGCGCCTTCAGTTACCGCACCATACGCAGCATCGCCCACTGGCTTTGGCTTTCCAACCTCCTATCCTTCCCACTCTACCTCTGGATGCAGACGCTAGCATGAGGCTGCCTCCGCTAGCCGCTCAAGCTCAGCCACCTTACTTTTACCCTTCCGCTATTCCTTTTCCCTATCAATGGCCAGCAGCCCCCGCTGCGGATGTCCAAGTAGGGCATCATCAGCCAGCAACGTGAGTTTACAGCTTACTTAGCACCAGGGGCTAATCCCTGCGTGAGGCTGCCTCCGCAATTGGTTACGGCCCCTCCCTCATTTCCTTCTACCTCTTCCTACGGGCTTCCCCAAGCACCAGGGGCTAATCCGTGCATGAGGCTGCCTCTGCAAACGGTTACGGCCCCTCCTTATCTTCCTTCTAACACTTCTATCCAAGCTAAACCTCAGTACACTTTATTCACAGCAGCCCCTCTACCTACCCCACCGAATGCTGCCACTCTGGAACCACCTCCTGTGCCTAATACCATCAAATCTCAGATTCTCGCAGGTGCGGATGTTGATATATCATCTCTCCTCTCTCTGCTACCTTCCGCTGAATCTCATCGACGAATAGATTGAGGATATTTCTCTGTTACATTAAAAAATTCAACTCCCAATTCCGCCCCTTCTCATTTTCCGAATTCACTATAGCTACACGGAAATAGTCTGCTCTGCTTTTCCCCATAGATGGCGCAAACTTAATGATTATCTGCCGATAGTCGCTGAACTCGCGCTGTCTTATGGCAGCACCCATTTCTACACGTACCATAAATTATTTTCAGCCAAATGTGCGGTACGTGTTACTCAGTGGAATCCGCGCACTGGACTCTGATCTCCACAACAGAGTATTTTTGCCCGCTCTCACAGAACAAAATTTGCAACAATCTCCATTCCGCACTCGCAGAGCCAGATACAGTAGATAATCTAATCAAAAAAGAAGTCGAGTCAGTTTTTATGATCGGACCTTTCGATTCTCCCCCCTTTGAAATTTTTCACATCAGCCCTATCGGAGTGGCTACCAGGAAATTTTCAGGAAAAAAAGCGTTTGATAATCGATCTATCAGCTCCACGTAATTCCCCATTTTCTAGCATAAACAGCCTCATACCACTTGAGGAATATTCTCTGCACTACCATGATATAGATCAAGCGATCACCATGATCAAAAAAAATTTAGGTCGCGGTGCGTGGCTGGCTATAGACATCAATTCTGCCTTCAAAGTGATGCCTATCCACCATATAATGTTTGTAAAATGGCACAGTTTTTTAAATATCTGAAAGTACTCTCTTAACATCAGTCAGTCAAGCATTATAATATGATAATCAATATTATTTAATGATAGAACTTTAGTAATTAGAATTAAAACTTGATAACCATGTATGATTGCATATCAGTCATTTTAACTGAACTTCAGAAATCGATCTATCAGCTCCACGTAATTCCCCATTTTCTAGCATAAACAGCCTCATACCACTTGAGGAATATTCTCTGCACTACCATGATATAGATCAAGCGATCACCATGATCAAAAAAAATTTAGGTCGCGGTGCGTGGCTGGCTATAGACATCAATTCTGCCTTCAAAGTGATGCCTATCCACCATATAATGTTTGTAAAATGGCACAGTTTTTTAAATATCTGAAAGTACTCTCTTAACATCAGTCAGTCAAGCATTATAATATGATAATCAATATTATTTAATGATAGAACTTTAGTAATTAGAATTAAAACTTGATAACCATGTATGATTGCATATCTGTCATTTTAACTGAACTTCGGACTGGTGGTGGTACTTTTTTGGTCATTCAGTGTTTCTGTAAAAAACAAATTATGATAATGATACGAATTCTACTAATAAGAACAATATGAAATGCACTAAGGTTAATGAGCTACTGGATTCATGAATATTAATCGGGTTGTGTGCGTTCGCTGGAACTGATTTGCTGAAATCAAAACAGGGACGATAAAAGGGGAGCACCAGTCAATGAGATTGTCGTTTGTGCATTATTTCCGCCCACTACCGGAAAACCTGAACCCACAGTTCTTAAAAGCTGACGAATTCCAAAGGAACGCTGTTATTTTGACAGGAAAATGCAACAAAGAATATCGTTTGCATGTAGCAAATTCTCTCTCTCTCTCTGCGTGTGTGTGAAACAAAGCGACGGTGAGTCGTGCACCTTCACACTAGAGTTTACGGTACGTCAAATACAGGTGCGCATCCATTGAGATGAACTGAAAAATAGCACAGATCGCTTGACGGAGAGTGAAACTCTGAAGCGCTCAGTCAGAGAGTGTTTGGCGAGTGAAAATATATCTGAGCTAAACTTATACTTAGCCTCCAACTCACACACTGGCGAGTAAAATCTGAGAATTTATTGACTTTCTTCGGTTTTCTGAGATGCTCCGAAATTGCAATAACCACTACATATACATTTTAACCTCCCATCTCCAATTCAAACTTATCAGGTTCTCTTTTCTTATTTCCAACTCAGGAACGCTCAATCTAAATTCGCACTGGACCCTCTCTTCGTCGATGACTCTAACCACCCCGTTACACGTTTTTGGTTCCAAAAACACTTAAAACTGATCCTCACTCAATCAGGCTTACCCGTAGAAAATTTTTCCAGCCACTCATTTTGCATCGGGGCAACAACTACAGCAGCTCAAAAAGGCATCTCACAGAATCAGATACAGGCCCTCGGTTGATGGTCATCAGATGCTTTTAAAAGCTACATCAGGTATAATCATCTCCTCATAAAAGAAGCCCATGTAGCCCTGATCAGAAAAATAAAAAAACCTCGCTTTTAAATCACCTTCTTTACTCGGATAATCAGAGGCTCTCCTTTCCAATGCAGTAAGTCACAGCTCCTTTTGGTCGCAGTAAGAGCCCTCCAGCTGTCGGTTAGAATCTTATTGCTTATTCAGCATCGGACGGGGCTCTCCCTTCGGTCGCAGTGTGAGTCTTCCGTCTGTTGTTCTGAGTTACGCTGCGCACTCTGTGACGAACGGGGCTCTCACTCCTGGTGCAGCAGAGTCGCAGGCTCCATTTGGTCGCAGTGAGAGCCTTCCATCAGTCATTTAAAATCTCTTTGCTTATTCAGCATCGGTCGGGGCTGCCCCTTGCAGTGCAACAGATCCACGGCTCCCTTCGGTCGTAGGGTGAACCCTCTGTCTGTCGCTTTGAGTTACGCTGCGTACTCGGCGGCGGACGGGGATCTCCCTCCCGGTGCAGCTGAGCCGCTGGCTCCCTTCGGTCGTAGTGGGAGCCCTCCATCCGACGCATTAAACCGCGCCTCGTATTCAGCCGCAAGGGGGACTCTCCATTCCGGTGCAGCAGAGCTTCTGACGCAGCGATAGTCCCTCCACCAGTCGCATCTCCTTGCTTATTCAGCATCAGACGGGGCTCCCCCTTCTGATGTAGCAGATCCACGGCTCCCTTCGGTCGCAGTGAGAGCCCTCCATCTGACGTGTCAAACCGCGCATCGTATTCAGCTGCTCTCCCTTCCGATGCAGCAGAGCCGCAGCTCCCTTTGGACGCAGCGAGAGTCTCTCATTTGATATCTACCATCGTGCTCCTCTTCTAGCGGCATGTAGGGCTTGCCAGTCCGACGCTGCAAGCCGCAGCGCCGGCTGAGCACTGCACAAGCTCTCCCGGTCACCCTGCCCCCTTTTTCTTCGCAAAGTTTAACCCATATGTCTTCACAGCTTGCATATTTTGGGGGAGCAACTAAAAAATGTTGCTCTCTGGCTGCTGTCCAATGCCTTTTAAGTTTCTTTGGGGGAGTTCTCTGGGTTCGGGTTATATTCCGGGCTCGGAGCCCTCCCCTAGGACAGCACGCCAAAATATGCTTACTATTTGCTATCAGATTAGATCTAAGGGTGAACTCGTGAAATTGTTTTATTAACAAGGTTCGGGAGGAGCACGATCAGATAATCAACCAATTTAGCACAGGTGTAACTCGTTATGCTAACCATCCTAGCTAGCACAATACGTATATATACAATATATATATATATGCAGCCTACCTGCCTTTGTCCTATGACAGTTTTCCGGCATCCCTCCTCCACCCCAACCCCTCACTCCTATTCTATTTTCATCTCATACTAGGGATAAGGGAGTTCTCTGAGTTCAGGCTATATTCCGGGCTCGGAGCCCTCCCCCAGGGCAGAATGCCAAAATATGCTTACTATTTGCTATCAGATTAGATATAAGGGTGAACTCGTGAATCTCCTGTTTGTAGAAATTATCAAAGTGGATCCAACAATTTCAATTTAATTTTTTAATGCTGCTTAAATGGATTTGCATGTTTTATGGGATTTCTTTTGCCAGTGGTGTGAAAGTCTGAATCAATCTTCTCAGGTTCCTTGGAAATGGGTTAGTGACGGCTATGGACCATGATGACTGGTACAGGCAGCGTCGCATCATGGATCCAGCCTTTAGCAGCACGTGAGTCAAGAACATCTCTGATACACTGAAATGAGATAGAGATGCACCTCAGCTGATGCTGTCTTATCCACCAGATACTTACGAAGCTTGATGGGCACTTTTAATGAGATGTCTGAGCGCCTAATGGACCATCTGGAGGAAATAGCCGACACGAAAACACCTGTCATCATGCATGACCTGGTCAACTGTGTCACACTCGATGTCATTTGCAAGGTTTCACTCTTCATCTCGCTAATTCAAAGGAAGGTCTAATACATGGAAGGTGAAATTTGCTGTTGATCTGTACTTAGTTGTCATGTTTTCATCCACAGGCGGCTTTCGGTGTTGATTTGAATTTGTTCAAGCAAACTGACAGCCCCTTCCAGAAAGCTGTAGAGCAGTGTTTAAAGGGCATGGTGTTCTATCTCAGAGATCCATTTTTTAGAGTAAGAGAATTTATCCATAGATGTCATTCTAAATTAAAAGGGTTAATGCTTTATAATCATTTTGTTGTTGTTGTTGTTTCATTTGCGTGACCTCAGCTTTTTCCCAAGAATTGGAAGACTGTACAACAAACTAAAGATGCAACTGAACTCCTGCGTAAAACGGGAAACAAATGGATACAAAAAAGGAAGACAGCAATAGAAAATGGAGAAGACGTCCCCAAAGACATTCTCACACAAATCCTCAAAACAGCAGGTATGTGGGACTCAAATACTGAGACATTAAAAAGTTAAGTGTATTATTGTTTTTGATTACAAAGTGGCTTATAGGCTTACGTTTAATGTTATGGAAATAAAACAAACAATATCTTGACTTCTGATGTCACTTTGAAAAATGTTTTTTCGGTACATTACTCATCTGCTACAACATTGTAATGTCTTTAAAATGCACATATCAATATTTGTTGAGAAAATCCCACAAATTAGAATAATTTAGAGTTATTTTGCAGTTAACACTTTCCATTTTTTGCTACAGAGGAGGAAAACGTTAATAACACAAAAGATCATGAGCTGATGTTGGACAATTTTGTGACTTTCTTCATTGCTGGTGAGTTACGGCTTTGATTTTTGTTTATAAACCCTTGCAGTTATAAACAGCGCTTTCTGTTTCTGTTGCAGGGCAAGAGACAACAGCAAATCAGCTCTCATTTGCAATCATGGAATTAGGGAGACATCCTGAGATATATAAACGGTAAAACACTTCTTGGAAATGTGGACCTGTTCCATCCGTCTTGCATTAATTGCAATTAATTTTTTTATTAAATTGTATTTCCTTCCCAGGGCTAAAGCAGAGGTGGATGAAATTCTTGGGACAAAAATAAACATTCCATATGAAGACCTTGGAAAATTCACTTACTTGTCTCAGGTTTGTTGGCAAAGATGTTATTTTACATGCTACAAACACAAATGGTTTTGTATAGATTTCTTTAAATTATCTTTTGTGTTATTGACTCAATGCTGCAGGTGTTGAAGGAAACGCTGCGTCTGTACCCAACTGCTCCTGGGACCAGCCGCTGGCTACATGAGGACATGGTTATAAATGGGCTGAAAATCCCAGGGAGCTGTGCGGTTATTGTGAGTATCTCCAGATTCCCTGTAAGACTGGTCCGTTCATTATGTAGCCATCATGGCACCAGTTCAGGGGTATATTTCTATTAATAAAAGTGCGAAATCTCAGGTTATGACTGTAACCATGGTTCCCTGAGAGAAAACGAGACGCTGCTTGGAAAGCTGTGGAAAGTCTCTGTGTGATCACGTCTAGAAGCACATGTGAAATCAGTCCAATGGAGTAGCGAGACGTCATGGGTAGGGTGTGTAATAATTTTACTTAGTTGTAAGGGAATTAATCATTATTAATTCATTCAGGTTTTGATAGGACTCTGATTTGAAGAGCCTAATTCAACCGGATTCTAATTGCTTCTAAATTTGATAGTTTACACTCCTATCAGCTATTCGGCCAGCGAGAAGTTGATGTCTGTGTATATTACCAATTTAATATGTAAATTTTGTATTCTCCCTGGCCACGGGTGAAATACAATTATGATAATTTTTCAGCTCTTAAAGAGAGGTAATTATTATGAGTAAGCTACGAGCTAGGTAGCAAGCAAGGATCTTTTGGCAATAGAGTTGACACGGAAATTATATGACACCAGACAATTGAGTATTTATAAATGAACCCTGAAATGTATTGGCTATTCTAGATTACATAAACTTAAGCTAAAACACACAATACACACATAGTTTCAGAGGAAGGAAAGTCTGTTAACGGAGTTCTGAGTTTCATAGTTCTACCTCGTTTTCACGAGTGATGGAAATTCACCTTAAAAATTCACAGAGCAGCGAATCTAAATTCACCAGTTCAGATTATGAGAGAGTTGTTGTTTACTTGCATTCTGCTGGTTGATAGCTGAGGTGACTCTGTGGCTGATGCGGGCTTCCTTTGGGAAACCCCTCGTTGGTTAGTGATGAAGCAGAGGCGTGAGAAGTTCTGCTGAGACTCTTAGTGTGCAAGACTTTCAAGTTTGTTGACGATTTCAACGAAGTATCACTGAAGTGTTGAGTTTTATATGGCTGGTCGCTTTGATGGTAAGTGTGAGCACGCGTGCAGGTGCTCTAACACAGCGACCAGCGAGAGCAGGAGAAACCACGAGCCAGCTAGCATTCTGTCTTGCATTGGGGTTTTGCTCTGTGGCCTAAGTCCGTCCCCTGATTCTGTCTTCCAATCGACTTCTTGCGGGGCGGAGCGTGCATACATTAACAAGAGGCTTTAATTCATCACATGAAGACACCCTCTATAAAGTTAATACATCTATAAAGTCCCTTAAATGCCAATATTGTACATACTATTAAAATTTACTTCATTTCAACCTTCTGCATTTCTCTTTTCCATTCGTTCAAGATTAAACTTCACATATTACACATTTTAATATCCTTATTTTCTCAAAAGGGGTAATTAAACACTGGTTAAAGTTGTACCGATTACAAGAAACACGTCAAGCATTTATATACAACATACAACCTACTATTTGTGATTCTATGCTCTGGTTATTTTATACTTTCAATGATTAGCAACGATTGTCAAAAGAAATCTTGTCTCTTTCCTTTGGAATGCGGGGGAAAAAGGGAAGGGTCCTTCGGTCATTCTCAGGTCAGATCTGAGAGTCTGCTGGAGAATCTCCTGCTGGACAGGGAGCTATAAAATTGTCTCTTTTGTTGATCGGGTTTTAGCAATTTATAATTCAAAGGGTCAGGGGTATCCCTATCTACTCCTTGCAAGCCCGTAAAACGCTTTTAAGCACTGTGAAAGTACTGTCTTCTTTGGCATTTCTTGAGAGATAGCCAAACAGTCCAGGAAATGCTTCACCTTCCCTGACCCTGCATGAGTTTGCATCTGCATCTGTTGGCTGGGAGTCCTTCGATTTGTCCCGATGGAATGTGAGGGTTTGATGCGTGTCTCCATCCTGTAGGTGGGTCTGTTGTGAGACATAGATCCTACAGGTGACATAGAGACCAGGAAGCTTAAAAGCACATCCAGAACAAACAGCATTAGCTTCTGAAAGATCGAAGCAAGTCGCTCACAGGGATGCAGGAAGTATGGCAGTGCGACACAGCATCTCGTTCCCTCATCGGGGAACCATGGTTACAGTCGTAACATGAGACATTCCCCTTCAAGGGAACTCGTGCTGCGTCGAAACGCTGTGGGAACAACAACACCCACTTTGCCATGCTGACAAATACCTGTCTAGTGTGAATTATGGCGAGCACAGCTATGAAAGGAGAACTTGAGTTTCTGGCATAGATCCCAGGTCTAAATTATAGAATCTGATTAATGTGAGCAAGGAGTACCAGCCCACCACATCACAAACCTTCTGCAGGGACACCCCTGAAAGAAAAGCTTTAGAAGCCACCATACTTTGAGTTGAGTGCACTCTGACCCCTGAAGGCGAAGGAATGTCAGAGGACTCATAAGCGAGGGAGATAGCCTCGACTATCCACCTGCTTAATGTCTGCTTGGTCGCAGGGAACCCTTTCTTAGGCAGACCAAAGCAGGTGAACAAATGATCAGTCTTTCTCTGCAGGGCAGCTCTGTGGACATAAGTGTCCAGCGCTCTCACCAGACACACCAAATTAAGCTTCTCCTGGTCTGGATTTTTGAATGGAGGAGGACAAATGGCCTGCAGCACTATGGACTGTGGCACATTTGTGGGCACCTTCGGAATGTAACCTGGCCTTGGGTGCAAAAAAGCTTCCACCATACCAGGGACAAACTCAAGACAAGATGGAGCGACAGAAAGTGCTTGAAGATCTCCTACTTTCTTAAGAGATGAAATAGCAAGTAGAAATACTTAAGGGTCGAGATTCTTTTCTGAGACCTCTTCTATTGGCTCAAACAGAGCTTTAGACAGTCTTTCCAAGACCACGGGCAGATCCCAAGCCAGGACCCTAGTGCGGCTTGCAGGTTTCAGCCTCAAGGCACCACAGAGGCCACACCCATAGCTTCCACAACTCTGGGCGAGGGTGATGGATTGAGCCCTCTGCCTGAGACAGAAGGTCCCTCCTGACCGAAATGTCCCATGGGAACCTTTCCAGGAGGGCCACCAGGTCCGAGAATGACACTTGGGCTGGCCAGTGTGCTAACTTGCAAAGTGGGCGTCACCGCAGGCCCCCCTAATGGTTGATATATGATACCACCTATGTGTTGTCTGTGCGAACAAGCATATTATGGCCTCTCAGGTCTGGGAGAAAGTGTTTCAATGCTTGATTGCTCCACAGCCCGTGAGGGATGCGTCCGTCGTAAGCGTTACATGATGACATGGAGCTCCCAATGCAGGACCCCGGGAAAAGAACCAAGGCTTCTTCCACATGACTAAGGTATGAAGGCATTGTCACCTGACCTTGATCATGCGAAGTGGGTTGCCCCTCAACCCCTTGGTCCTGAGCCACCACTGCAAGGGTCTCATGTACAGCAGGCCAAAAGGTACCACGTTGGACGCTGCTGCCATCAGACCCAACAGTTTCTGAAACTGTTTTACAGTGTGTGACTGGCCTAACTTCACTCTGTTGATGGCTGCCTGCATTGTCGTCGAATCCCAAACCACTCCAAAATAAGTGGTCCTCTGTACTGGAGAGGCGTTCAGCATTAACCCAAGCTCTTTCATATTGGCGAGGACAACATCTTGATGCAGAGCTGCCATCTGCTTTGACTGAGCTAATATCAACCAGTTGTCTATATAGTTTAATACGTGAATGCCCTGGAATCATAGAGGAGCCAGTGCAGCATCCACGCATTTGGTGAAAGTGTGGGGTGGCACTGCTAGGTCGAACAGAAGAACCCGATACTCAAGTCAAGTCACCTTTATTTATATAGCGCTTTATACAATACAGATTGTGTCAAAGCAGCTTTACAGTGTTAAACATGGAAAACGTGTGCTGATAATGCAAGAGGACAATAGAAAACGGTCAGTTTATCAGTTAAAGTCAGTTCATTGTTGATTCAGTGATGTCATCGTCAAGCTCAGTTCAGTTCTCTTAAAATAGTGTCTATGCAATCAAGTCGACAATATTACCAGAAATGAAATGAAGTGTCCCCAACTAAGCAAGCCAAAGACGACAGTGGTAAGGAAACAAAACTCCATCGGTGACTGAAATGGAGAAAAAAACCTTGGGAGAAATCAGGCTCAGTCTGAGGCCAGTTCTCCTCTGGCCAGATGAAACCAGCATGGTGTGGTTTAATTCCAGGCTGCAACACAAGTCAGATTGAGAAGAGGACTCAGCTGGTTCTCATAGCTTTTGCTGAGGAATTGTGCCGATGGCCAACAAGGTCTTTGCAGGAGATCTTTCTCTAGGGTTCATCTAGTTGACATGGTCTCTGCTGACATTCAGGGCTGTTGAGGTCGTCTCTAGGTGCTGATCCACCATTTGGTCTGTAGCCTCTTTCTACAGTCTGCAGAACCCATTGAGACCCATTTGGCAGAAGCTTCCATGCTGCCAGATGGTCTACTAAGGGAACTATCCTTTTGAGAAGTAAATTTGGCACCCTGAAGTGGATGACTGGCAGGGGACAACCAATCTGGCCTCTCTAATAACCTCCTTGGAGGGTGCTAACCCGCCAGTGCTGCAACCGGAGGGGGCAGGGTTAACAGAACGGCCCCCTGAGGGCACTGATTAGAAACGTGCTCCGTATGCTGAGGGGTATACCGTTCCACCCCAGAGGGGTCTGCGCTCAGAAATCTGATGCTCGTGGTGTCAGGACTTCTTCACTGAGGCCTTCTTAGAGAGAATAATGCTCCTCAGATCTACCTTCTCATTAGTAGATCTCGGCTGAAAGGTCTTGAGGCATGATATGAGGAGCTGGACGAGGGCTGGGGCTGGGGCTGGGGCTGGGGCTGGGGCTGCTCCCATCCATCAGTCACTGAGACCTGAGGCAAGGCAAGGGAGGTAGTGCTGGAACGCTGCTGCCTGCTTTCTAGCCTCCTAAAACCTGTCGATGCCTGAGGTGAAAGCGTTGCCGAACAGGCCAGAAAGTGCAAGCAGAGCATCCAGGAGGAATAACTTGTCCTTCTCTTTGATGTTAGATAAGTACTATCGCAGATGCCTCTCCATGGCCACCAGGGCTGCCATAGAATGACTGATGGCTCTGGCCATCTCCTTAGTGGCCTGAAGAGACAAATCTGTGGCCCAGTGCAGTTTTTGGATTGCATCCGGATCTAGCCCCTCACTGCCATCAAGGTCTTTTAGCAGGTCACCCCGGTATGCCTACAACAGAGCCATAGTATGCATACATACCCCGACTTTACCTGACGCCAGAGCTCGTCTCTAACCACTCTGGTAGATCCATCTGCAAGCCCCACAACCTCAATTGCTGCTCTGCCTCAGCAGCAGCGGGACCAGAACCTTGAGAACCCCTCCTCAAAGAGTACCCAGAGCGAGTAGAGCGTTCGCAGTGGCAGCCGCTCACAATGAGCACAGTCAGCCCCCTTGAGAGCTTGCCGTGCATTCTCCCTCCCAAACAAGCAATTCAAAGATCGTGTGAATCCCCATCCGTGATGTAATGTGGGCAGGGAGGAACACACAATCTAAAATGCTGCTTGTCTGATTTAGACACTTTGCTCGCTATAATACTACTTTGGTTGTGCACTGGCACAGACAAACAACATAAAACTCTGACATACGCTTGCTGAAGACACAAAAGTTAAAGGGGTCATATGAGGTTGCTAAAAAGAACATTATTTTGTGTATTTGGTGTAATGAAATGTGTTTATGCGGTTTAAGGTTAAAAAAACACATTATTTTCCACATACTGTACATAATTGTTTCTTCTCTATGCCCCGCCTTTCTGAAACTGCATCGATTTTTTATAAAGCTCATCGGTCTGAAAAGCGAGGTGTGCTCTGATTGGCCAGCTATCAAGTACGTTGTGATTGGCTTAATTCCTCAAACGTGTGATGGAAATGTTACGCCCCTACCATACTGTGATGCCCTGTCCGGCCGGAGCGACGAGACAAAAACATTAAAACCCATTATAATATCTAATATCTGCATTTGTGATCGGAGAAATGACAAACAACAAGCGCTACTCTACACTGCTCAAAAAACTCGCTTTAAATATATGACATATAAAAACTCTTTAAATATAAAAGACGGCATTGTAGTCTACTCTCCCAGGATCAGGAAACAGTCCTCCATAAAATGTGCTGCACACATCTG